ACATAGGTCTTTTCAGTTATGTTTTAATAATAGTATAAATACTTACTGGCCGACTGGGAGAAGTCAAGTTGACTCTTTCAGTTCGAACCAGAATTCTCTCTTCTCTCTTTCTCTCTTTCTCTCTTTCTGTATCACTTTTTCTTCTTCTACATAACTGAACTCAGTCAGGCCAAACTCTAAGGCAGACCTGAATTCTAACACACACCATAAGGGAAATCAGACATTTAGTATGGGAGGTAGAGGAAAGATTCCATTGTGTCAGGAAATCTAAACAGTTTGGCYGATGCATTGGCCAACAAGAAGTGAACATGGATATTTTTTTGGGATCATGTATTAWAAGAAAGATCAGCACAGAGCTCTTATTGTATAGCTGCTCATTGTACAGGAGCCATTAATTGTGATTTTTTGGAAAGCTAACATATACAAATACTGCACTACCTTTTCTAAAGAATGGGTTATATGGATGTGTCCAAGCTATGCCTAGGGATGCTTGGACAAGCACTCAACTAGCTTAGAATTTACCCTAGAGTTCCTATATTAGCAGCCAGGCATATGAAAGGATACCTGATAAACAAGACTCAACTAGCTTAGAAGGCGATTTCAGTCCAATTCTGCACTATAAAGGCTTATGACTGTTGACCTTCCAATTAGAGATTGAATATCAGTTTGGATCCTAAAACTCTCTCTTTTGGATTAATATGAAAAGGAACTTTAATTAAGAAAATGAGAAGAAAGATGTAGAGTGATCAGGCCTACCCAGTGATGCAAGATCATTTCAAGCAAAAATTTCACCAAAAAGGAGGCAAACTGCAATAAACTGTAAGACAAAAATAGATTGACCATATGCATCCTGAAATTCTTGAAGTTAACTGATATACATATACTGGGGCATTAGACGCATATGTATGGACTTTTGTTTTCTTTTTGTAGTATAAAGAAAGTTGGAGGGATTATATTCTATCTTGATGTTATATAAATATATAGTAGAGAAAGATCCATAAGTAGGTTGGAGCTCTTCTGATATCTTTTTTATTCTCTATAAACTTTATTTTAATTCAATTAACATTACCTGTCAAAAAAAATTGATTGGACAAGGGAAATGATACCTCAGCTCACCAAAAAATTCCAAATACCTAACTGGCTTCTCACTCAATCCTGTCTTTAAAATCAAGCACCCAATGAACAATTTTAGCTTTGTATGCTCCATTAGGGAATGGATCCTTGTTTATTTCCCTTAAAAATTCCTAGAGTTTATTTGTAAATGGCTATCCAAAAAATCAGACACTTTAATATTTCTGTGGATCATTATGCATTTTAACTGATGTTGTAAAAGAAATACATTATATGGTGGTAAGGTTATCTTGTCACTACACTCACTTTTTAATCAGTATCCAATGAAAGAAAAACATTATTGATAAAGGATTAGATAAGAGTATAGCAGCAATAATCGCTAGGCTGGGAAAGACCAGCTAACCCCAACAAACAAATGCCTGTGAAGAGTTATAGTGTCACCTACCCCCTGGGTGAATACAAATCTTCCCTGGGGCTTAAACTTACCTTCAATTTGACAGTCCAAATATATATATGCAGAGTCTTGTTATATGCAGATAGGTTTGCTCTAATCATGGTTGTGTGTAGAGATTTCAACGGAACAAGTTCAACCTGAACAGGAACCTGACTAAATGAAGAGGGAGCACTGAACCCAACATGACCTGTCCCATATATAGCACACCTATATATTCTACCAACCCTATATATACAAATATTTCAACACTGCAATATCAATGAGTCAGGTTTAGCACGGTCATACCTCAACCCAAACCCGATTTAAGGCTGACCTGACCCCAAATCTATAGGGTCTGGTCACTGCTGATGTACCACTTCACCTGTCCCACTGATGTCCCTAGTTGTTTTCCAGTCGCTGCTGGTTTACAGCTTCACCTGTCCCATTGATGTCCGCAGTTGTGTGCTTCTCCTGTCCTATGAACCTGGATACCTGTACAAGGGTGTCGTATCATGTCGGATGCTTCAATCAAGGTTTAAATTGTCGATGTTAGTGGAAATGTCGGTCATCCAAATATAAGAAACATGTTGAAAATGTCAGAAATGTCGTATGGAAATATTTGTAAAAATTATAGGCATGATGCTGAAAACATTGTAAAATATGCAAAATATAGAATGATATTTTATGAAATGATAAAGAAGCATAGGCACATCTTTTTAAATTATTATCTTGTTCCAAATCATCAAACAAAGCTAAGAAACTAAGGTTATAAACAAAAGAATACATTTTGAAGTTGCCCTGTAAACCTTAAGATTCAGAGCTTCATGATAGAATTAAAGCAAAATTTAAACTCAGAAAATGTAAATGACTTCTAATAGATCAACCAAATAATCTATTACACAGACAAAAACTAATATTTAACTTCATGTTTGAAATGAATAGTGAGCTAGCTCAAAGTGGTAATCATGTAAATTAGGTGAACAATAACTTGTTACTTCAAATATCTACTATATTGTCATGAACTTATGTTAAAATACTATCTCTTGTACTCCACATAGTACTGGYAATGTTGGGGAATATGTTGGTTCCAGTAGAATTTCATGTCATCATCCATGGAAGTGGAAATGGAAATTTGTCATGGAAACTATCTCTTGTACTCCACATAGTACTGGTATTGTTCATTGAGGAAATGTCGATTCTAGTAAAATTTCGTGTTGCTACCCATGGAAATGGAAATATGTTGTGGAAATATTAAGGGAATTAGGGACATTTTAAGCCATGGCTTCAATGTTTAGTGTAAATTTTGCATCCAATTACCATATCTGACCATGTCCTTTTCAGACCCATGTAGCATAGCTCCTGTCTTTAAAGTGGTGCCTGACCAGATGTTGTTCTATGGAGGGGGCTAGAGATCTGTTGATTCTCTTCAGAGATTTGGCCTTTAACCATCAGGATTAGAGCTTGGAGCCCCTAGTCACACCTCCAGGTTTGTCACTTGGGATGCTGATGATCTAGGCAGAGTGCAGGGGCTATATGTCGGTTCTTGGCTGAGGCTTGTAGCCCTTTCTGGGGGGGCTCTTTGGTGGTATACTGAGAAGAGAGGAGAGCGGCAGGAATTTGAGGGGAGATTTACATGGAAACAGGATCAGGTGCTGGATTGGCTCAGGCAATCTATGAAGACTTGCTCAAGTGTTGGTTTGATATACAGGGATGGGCATTTGAGGAAGAAAGTGAGAATAATGTAATCTCAGCTGGGGGCTTGTTGCTGAGAAGAGTGTACAAGGACACCCATCTCTGATGTCTCAGTAGAGGATGCAAGGGAGCATTGGGAATGAGGGTAGGCTGGTAGTAGGTCAAAGTAAGAAGATGTTGATGAACCCTTTTAGCTAGATTCTCAAGTACCAATCAACAGAACGGTGGATRGAAAAGTAAAGGTGGACAAGTTGTTGATACTGTTTTCCTTGGGTGGACATGAGTTCTCTCAATCTGTTTGCAAATGACTGGAAGAGAAAGACAAAAAATCACAACTGTTGCCAAATATTGGTTCTATGAAGCATCCTGGAATCATATCCAATGAAGCACGGGATTTTTTATGGTGTGAAGGAGGCTGGGGAATGTAAAAAAGGACTTGTAGAAGGTAGGGACATGAATGTGTCACCTACACATTGCTGGTGTTTTTTTGGTGGTGATATGTGATTGGTTTTTTTACCAGTCTCGGTCTTGGGGCTCCAAGCTATGGCTTCTTAGTTGTTTGCTGGCGGTGCTGTTTTTTTTTTTTCCTTGGGCTGATTCATCGTTTCTTTTGATTGTGGGAGACCATTGTGACATTGAGTTGAGGCTTTTTGATGTAGTCTTGGGTTGTAACTAGTTGAGGCTTTTGCTGCCTTTTGCTCTTTTGGTGTGTATCTTTTTGAGTTTCTTCCTTTTCTCCCTTTCTTGCATTGGGCTGCAAAGTCCATATATGTCTTGTATATTCTGTTATTTATTAGTGAATTTTCTATTTACAATAAGAAAAGGGCCTACAAATATTTCTTCCCTTTTTGATGATATCAGTTTGTTTGAATCTGGACAAAGTTTTGATGAGCACCATGTTTTCTTCTCTTAACAGGTTAAAGGGATAGATGGCATCCTTGCTGCCTATGCAAGTGCTATACATAATTTTTCTCTTGCAGGACCCACTTTATTTGGCCAAGTTATCAATAAGGCTGCACAAATAGCTAGCCAATCCCTTTCGGCTAACCAGAACAAATACTTTGTTTTACTCATCATTACAGTAAGTGACGAAAGAAAAATGTGCTTTTCTTCTCCCTTCTCTTTGTTGGTAGCTTGGGTACTAAAATAATTCTCTCTTCTAGGATGGAGTACTGACGGATATCCAAGAAACTAAAGATGCTTTGGTTAGGGCATCTGATTTACCATTGTCGATACTTATAGTTGGAGTGGGAAATGCAGATTTTAAAGAAATGGAGGTACTGACTAGTTGAATCTTCAGCTCAAAATGATATCTGGTTTTGAAGCATTGCATTAATCAATCCCTTCTACAGAAAATCATGTGATCAATCCATCTAGGGATTTATTAACTAGAATCAATGGGTTATGGACGTACAATGGGAGAGGGGACACAAAGAATGAATAATTAAATTTTGATGTTTTGACAGATCCTCGATGCCGACAATGGGCAACGTTTAGAGAGTTCAACAGGTCGCATTGCCACACGTGACATTGTGCAGTTTGTTCCAATGCGTGAGGTGCATGGTGAGTCCTGTACAACTTCACTTTGCTGCATTAACATCATGGAAGATGTTATATTGTTGACAACAAACAAGCAATTGTGACTTTGATATTTGTGGTCCCATGTCTGCAAGTACCCATTTATTGAATTTTTTTGTCAATTTTGAGCCATATAGCCTTTTTTTTGGGATGCATAACATTTGTTTATTTAGATGATAGGATTTCTTTGAGATGACTAATTGTAATCAAGGTTCAAATTGTCAATATGTATTGCATGGTATTGTGTGTACAATATCAGTATCGAAGGTCACTGAAATGTGAAATACTGAGATTTGGGGGATATTAACAGTTATTCATCCTAACAAGCCTATATGTAAATATCAAACTAGAAAAAATAATAAAAAAAGGGAATATCCACTGTTTGAAACGCATGATACGTAATTTTTGCATATTGTGTGTATCTTGATTGTAATATTTTTAATTGTTTACAAGTAATTTGTTCACATGAGTCAATGTCAGTTAGAGACCTGACAATTTTTGTAATGCAGTAATATCAAAATAGTCATCCACCTTGTAGAAAAAGAATTGCCAATATACTTTCTTGATATTAAACCAATCTGGTATTACCATGGTGGATTTGTTGATGGTCCCCATCTGAATCATTGGTTCCGATCTAAGGGATTGATTTAGTATAGAAATTTACCTGTCTGGATTGTTATAGTTGGCAATAAATGGGGATTATTTTATACATAGGTCATCAATAATTGTTTGCTTTTCTATAGTTCCAGTAATTGAAAATTGATGATTAAGATCCTCGAGTAATAAAATATAGGGATATTTGCTAAGTGGTTCATGGTTGAAGATCAAGATCAATCATCAATTTGATGATGGGGTTGAATTTCCATAGCTTTCTAGATACAATGTTATTGCTGATTTGGCTCCAGATAAGAAATTTGAGTCATTGATGCTGATAGACATTGCCTATATATCACCACAACCCTTCTGTTATTTTTCTATGTGAGCTGTCTGCTAGCTAGCAAATAGAAATTTGCATTTCTATTTTTTTCCCTCTTGGAAGCATTCTTCTGTTATTTTTCTTTTTCACTCCCTTCTATTTTGCTTAGTTCATGTGCTTTTAATTGGTATTTTAGGTGATAAATTGGTTGGCAAGTGAAATAGGATTTTCTTTCCCATAAACAATCTGAGGTCCTCTTTGTTGTTAGCTATTATTTTCTTGTTACTCTACAATTGGGATCTTCCTCTTATGAACAGGTGGACAGCTATCTGTTGTTCAAGCTCTCTTGGAAGAATTGCCTAGTCAGTTTCTGATGTACATGGGGAGTAGGGATATCAAACCATGCTTTGCTAATGAAGGCCCAACTGCTGCATGAGAAGGCTATCTTTGGTGGCCATAGGCGATGAGGCGAGATCGGCTTCAGTGATCATGCCATTCGCACAGCCTTTTACAGCCGTGCATTGGGAATATTTCCATACTTGTATGCTTCTTTTCATGGGGAGATAGGGGAGATAATCCCAATGCAAAGCTGCAAGGGACTGTGCAAACAGTGTGAGACGGTCTTGTGAGGACCAAATTCAATTTCATCACAGGCTGGCCTATAATTCTTGTAGACCTGGATGTATCTCTTTTCTTAAGTTTATAATGTTTTAAGTTCTTTATTTTGGTTGATGACCGAGTGGTTGAATGGTCAGTTGGCGTCCCTCTGAATATGAGGCATGGGATCAAACCACGCAACTGCAGGCTTTCCATGGTAAGGTCTGTGGATCTCACATGCTCCCTGCTCTGTTTCCACCCCTTAATCCCCCTGTAATGTGTAATTTGTATTATCGAAATGTTCTTTATTTTGAACCATTCATTGGAGCTTACTTTTGTGTTATGGAGGTCACCAAAGGCCAAAACTGTGTAAATAACTAGATATTCTGTTCTTATTGCTGAACGTTGTAGTGACAGCATTCTTTGTACAACTGAAACTCAAGTGCAGCTGTCCAATAAAGAAGATTTAAGAATTATATAAAGTATAAACTTGAGAGTGATAACACAGGAAGGTCGCTGTATGGCTTAAACTGATGGTTGCAATGCTATCAATGGAATGGAAATAGTGATCGTCTCTTTTCCTTTTTCTCCATTTTACTTGATCTTGACGTTATCAAGAAACAACGTGTAAAAGATTATGTTCTCAATCTTACTTAGAGGTCAAGCATTGGGAAAAAAAGGTGAATCACCCTTTTCAAGTTTCAACACGCTACATTCATGGTGTGGTCCATGAACTTTTGAAGCAACTTTTTTGTTTTTAGACTCCGTATGGGTTTGAATTGCATTGCCCCCTACTGTTTATGTCTGCTAGAATATCTGTTCATTTTTTTTCAGCCCACTCAAGAATCAAGATTTTGTTCTGGGTTGGAATTTGGAAATGATCAAAATCCAGAACCGCTCAACTTTTGAATTGACTTCTGGTTGGCCGGAAACCTGGAAAACCTTTTGATCTGGATTGTTGGTCCGTGACTCTTATCTGGATGAATTCTGGACGCCAGTTTTTTCAGTCAACTGGGGGAGATACGTAGCCGATTAGCCGGATCTGACTGCACATCACAATCTCCCTCTCTTTGTTGGGAGCAAGGTTTAACTGAACGCCTTAGCTGTTCAGCGGGCAGGCTCTACGCCAGTATTAAATACATGGGGCCCGTGAATTTAATATTGACAGTGGAACCTCATTTCCACAGCCTGCTGAACAGCTAAAGCATTCAGCTAATCCGAATTTCTTTGTTGAAATTTTGACTATTTTTTTTTTGTTTTATTTATAGATTTATGTTCTTTTATGAAAAGGGGAGTGGAGTGGATCCCTTGAGAGGTAGTTGAAATATTAGTGTGGAGCCCGTTTTTAGTTCCTTTGTTGCACAGTTGAGATTACATCTGCGCTCCACAAAAGCCTTATATGCACATCTCAGCGTGCATTGGAAACATCTTTTGAAGTTGTCAATAGGAGATGTTCCCAATACACCATTGGGATACGCTGTGGGGTGCAAATGTGAATTCTGCACAGTCATGAAAAGTGCATCTTTCATTTTCATGCAATAACCTTATGAATCATTCAATGTTCAACCAAGGTGGTGGGCCATTGATTGAACGTTGCAGATTAACTCAAGCATCAAATTCAAGATCTTTTGCTCAGTAGCTGGGTAGTCGGGTCATTGATCTGCTTTCCTAATAAGATTCTTCTCGTTCAGTTGCAAAATTTGCAAGAACGAAAGTTGATGAAAATTTTGCATCATTTTCCTTAAATTTTCTCTCCTAGAATCTATAAAGTGGGATCACAACATTTTATTCCTCTCAAATAAGCAACCCTTCGTGACTTTCAAAATAAATGAATAAACAATCCTCCAGTTACTTATCTCTCATATATAGTAGAAGACACACCATTTACTTCCAATTCTATTCCCTTTCAAACAAACAAAATAAGCTGAAACTTGGAATAGAAGTAAAATAAAATATGCAGTTAGTTCATCTGCATTTTGATACATTTGCACCGGTGCAAATTTAAAATGTTCACAACAAATCAAACCAAGAAAACCAAGTGGTTTAATACTCGACCGTCATTAGAGGCTTATAGTAACTCAACCTGGAATATGGAAGGGTAACCAACCATTATTCCATTATTGAAGGAGATAAGCTGTTTGTCTTAGTTTCCTTTTCTTATGTTGAAGCAAGTAGAGCCTAGGAATGTAAATGGATCGGATCATATTCAAATCGGGTATATCTGAATCTGATCCAAGACTAAATATTATATCTGATCCGATCAGATCTTATAAAGGTCAATTCGAATTCAAGTCTGTTAAGGAAGCTAGATATCTGAATCTAATCCAAGCTGATTTAATTCCTGTAAATTTAACAAATTATTAAAAGGAAAAAGCATAACAATTTATATAAAGAAAAACAGAAAATATAAAAAAAAAATAATATAAAAATTATGAAAATACAATATAAACATATTTATAAATAAATAAAGAACTATATATAGGGGTGATCCAAATTCAATTCAATCTGATCTGAAAATATGGCAAGGAGATATCTGAATCCAACAAAATAGGATAGGATTCAAATTCAGATTGGATCATGATCCAATCCATTTACACCCCTACTAGAGCCCAAAGTTGGATTTGGATCTGCTACCCACAAGTTGTTCCCACACTACTACCCAAAAGACATTATAGCTGCACATTGGGAATATCTATCTTGTCATTCATGGGGAGATGTGTCCAATAGAGAGTGGTGGTATTGTATAGGTAGAGCGTAGGGATGTGGGAACAGTTTGTGGGTGGTAGATCTAGAGTTCCCAAAGTTAGTTCAAAAGTGATTACGATTATATCATCAACCATGGGCCTTATTATGAACCATGTTTCATCATTCCATTCTATTGAGCATCATATATCTTGTTAAATTATGAGTGCCTTATTCACTTAGTCTCAGTTTGGAAAGAGTACAAATATAAATATGTACAATGCAAATACATGCAAAATAATATAAAATTCAAGGTTTTGTACTCTATAAATTTGTATTTGTACTCCTCCCAAATTGAGCCTTAGGTTGTGTTTGGTTGCAATGCAATTTTATTTGCACTAGTACAAATGCATGGGAGTGCAAATGAAAAACAAAATGCAAATTCTCGTTTAATTTTGTGTTGGGTTTTACTTTATTCTGCTTCATGTCCTAATTTACTTTATTTGTACTGCAATCAAACAAAATAAACTAAAATTTGGAGCAAAAATAGGTTGGAATTTACATTCAAATATGATAAGGGATAGTTTGGCCCGACCTATCAACACCCGGACATGTGGAAGTGACCTACTAACTAGGTGATGACTCGGCATTCCTTGCCACCTCAGTGAGCCAAGTCAGCTCGGGTACCTCGGGCACCTCAGCCAAGACCGAGGTCCAAGCAGTTCATGATGGCTCGACCTGCCGAGGTGACACGTAGCCAACTTCTAGAAGCTAACCAACTGTCTTCGACCTCTCTGAGATCACATTGCACATCGGCAAGACTTATCCTTATCCTGCTCGAATCAGACGGACTCGATAAGCCTTATCGGCTAACACGAAGTTCACCTCTTGGTGCGGAACAGATTCCCAATAGTGCGAGCCGAGGATCTCATAAGTGTTTCGTAAGACCCACAGCAACTCACCTATATAAGGGCTCCAACCCCAACATCACAAAGTACATGCGATTATTTGCTCACTAACTTACTAGCATTCAAGCTTTCAACTCGCATACTAAAATACTAACTTAAGCACCGGAGCACCCACACCAGGTAAACCACCCCGGGTTCTCTGAGTGTTATTTTCTTGCAATTCGACCGACCAACAAAGCAAACCGACGTCCAAGCTGCCCTCTAGCTAAGAGCATCCAGATTGTGCACTATCAAAATCATTTGCATTGCCATAGTTTTGCATTAGTGCAAATTTATTTGCATTTTAACCAAATACGACCTTAAGCTCAATTTTAAAAAAATACAAATACAAATACAAATATGTACAATACAAATACATAAAAGATAATACAAAAATACAAGATTTTACACTACATATTTATATTTGTACCATTTCCAAACTTTTTGCTTTTTCGCATTTTGGTGCCACACACCATTGATAACCCCTTTCTCCAAATTGGTAATTACAAGAATCGATTCCCTATCAATGCTGGTGCAAACCAATTAACATACTAGTGAATCACCCTTCATTTGACTACTCTTTCCAAACTGAGCCTTAACAAGACTACAGTTAGGGTTTAGTATGGGTTTGCCTCCACCATAATCCAACCCAACTTAGTAATATGTAGTTTTCAAATCCCCCCACGCATATGAGGTTGAACTTGATATCAACCCAACCCGACCTAAAGGTTTTTAATAACATTTTTAGCTCAATTTAAAAAATATATAAATATAAATATATATGATGCAAATGCATATAAAATAATACAAAATATAAGATTTTTCACTCTGCATATTTCTATTTAGGCTAAATTTGGAAGGAGTACAAATATAAATATGCACAGTACAAATATAATCAAAATATAAGATTTTGCACTCCGCCTTATAATGTAAATATGTACTCCTTTCGAACTGAGTCTTTGTCACGCATTTTGAAAACTTAAAAATCATTAAAATTTGATTTAAGATTATAGGGCCAGGATCGTGCATACGTGATACGTAAGCACCCCGCCTTATAACTTTCCGACATGACCACTTAACGCGACAATCGGACGGCCCTTGGTAAACGGATCGGACGCTGGTAGTTAACTGAACGACCGGATTGTGGCGCGAACCAGAAAAGTAGGTAAATTGACCTGTTACGCAACGTAAGCTGTCAGACGCCCAACGGTCTAAGGCGCAATTTAGCGTGCCTGAATCTTCGTTTTGCAATTTCAGGGGATTCCACGGGAGCGACTGATGTGAAAGTTGCGCCAGAGAGAAGGCAAACATGAGTGGTTCATCCGCTTCAGATGAAGCCCTATCTTCAGGTCCTCTCGCTTGTTTTACTTCAATCGAACTCTCAAGAATCTAGGGTTTTTCTTTTGACTTTTTTTTTTTTTGCGTTTTTAGCTTTTCATGGTCGTTTGGTTCTTCGATATTTTTTCTCTTCTCTTTTTTTTTTGGTTTGGCATGTGATTATTTGATCTAGCCATTTAATTTACCTGCTTCAGCATTTATAAAATGTTGATTCCGTAGGTGATTTAGATTTATTCGTATCTTCTTTGTTTCATATCAACTAATCAAGCTCATTTTTTTTATCTCTTTTTGAATTCTAACGCTTGGCATATTCATTTATGATCTGAATTGTGGTTTGTTAACTGGAATTTATTTTTCATTTGACCGAGAGGTGTTCAGGGTCTTTAAAGGTCGAAGAGGAGAAGAAATCTGCAGCTTCGGTCTCTCATATTGTCTATCACTTCGGTACCAGTGGAATTGCTGTTGCCACTGCGACTGGCATAACTCATCCTTTAGGTTTTGTCATCTTCCTTTTCATTTTTATTTTGATGTCATTTTTACTTAATTTTTAAAGAGATTGCTGAAAAGAGCAAACAAAAAACTTTCCCTCGTTTTTTGGTAACATTGTGTTGGATACATCAGTCTCTAGTATAAATTTCATATCCAACACTATATCCAGCCTTGTCCTTTTCGTATTTGAGTAATATAGATTGTTATATATGTTGGTCTTCACATATGGATCTCTTAAATCCAAATTAAGTATCTATGTGTTAGTAGTTTCTTGAACTTGATAATTTTCCATTAGAGGAAGATGCGTAAAAGAAAATTAGATGACTTTTCCTTAAGGCTGTGTTTGGTTGCAGTTCAATTTTATTTGCACTAATAGAAAAGCATGGAAGTGCAAATGAACAAAAATGCAAATTCTTGTTTAATTTTGTTCTATGTTTTACTTGATTTTGTTTCATGTCTTAATTTACTTCATTTGTTTTGCAATCAAGCAAAATAAGCTAAAGTTTCAAACGAAAATAGGTCAGAATTTACACTCAAATTATTTGCGCTGCCATAGTTTTGCATCAGTGCAAACTTATTTGCATTGCAACCAAACACAGCCTAAGGTTCAGTTTGGAAAAAGTAAAAATCCAAATATGTACAGTACAAATACATATAAAATAATAAAAAATGCAAGGTTTTGCACTCTACGTATTTGTATTTGTACTCCTTCCAAACTGAACCTAAGGCTGTGTTTGGTTGCAATGCAAATTTATTTGCACTAGTACAAATGTATGGGAGTGCAAATGTAAAAAATGCAAATTCTTGTTTAATTTTATTTTGGATTTTACTTTATTCTGCTTCATGTCTTAATTTGCTTCATTTGTACTGCAATCAAACAAAATAAGCTAAAATTTAAAACAAAAAATAGGTCAGAATTTACACTCAAATGCATTTGCATTGGCATGGTTTTGCATCAATGAAAATTTATTTGCATTGCAACCAAACACAGCCTAAGTTATGTTCCAATGAGTTTGGTAAAGTGCAGTAACTTATATGCTTGTTGGTCCACGGACAGTTTTGAGGTTTTTGATGTGTTTAGTCCTTATTGGCATGCCCGCTAATATCTCACTTTAAGTATTGGTGCATATTGGTTCTGCCACTGGATTAGAACATCTTATATCCTCCAAACCACTACAGCCTGTAGGTTTTCAAGACTGCTATTCAGTCTTGACCACTAAGAGATTTCAGGTTCGATGAGAAGAGAAAGTGAAGAAGATGTAGAAGAAAGAGCAATAGAACACGGTTTTTTAGGAGAAGAACAGAATGTCAATAATCTGCCGCTGCCACTTTAAGTTAATATACATAGGTTATGCTAGTTACATGAAATGACATATCTGCCCTTGGTGTTTACCATAATTGCTAACAAATAACAAACAATATAGAACTGAAACTAGAAATAACAGAATAGCAAAATAACCACAGCTGTGACTAGATACATTCTACCCTAC